GAAATAGAAGACTACAAGAAGAAGAAAAAAGACAGACTAGAAGAAGAAGAAGAAGAAGAAGACAACAACAAGACTACCAAAAAAAAAAGATAGAGAAGTAGAAGACTTCTAAGAAGAAAAAATAAAAAAGATAACTAAAAAGAAACAGAATTACAAGAAGAAGAATATTACAACAATAAAAAAAGAAAAAAGATACTACAACAATAAAAATAAGACTATAACAAGAAGAAGAAGACCACTATATGAATGAGACGACGACGACAAATACGAGAAGAAGAAAAAGAAAATATCAAAGAACAAAAAAAACTACCACATGTAGAAGAGGACTACAAAAACAAAAAGGAAACAGAAGACTACTACAACAACAACAATACAACGACTACGACAACAACATCAAGAAGACTATAACAATGACAACAACAATAAGACTACAAGAAGAAAATGACGAAAAGGCATACAAGTTGAAGAAGAATAAGAAGACTACTAGCAAGAGAAGCAAAACAAGAAGAAAACTACGAGAAGAACAAGACGACTTCAAGGAGAAAAGGACTACAATAACAAGAAGAGTACTACATGAAAAACAAAAAGAAGAAGAAGACAACAACAACAAGACTACAAGCAAAAGAAGAAATCAAGATAGAAAAGTAGAACACTTCTAAGAAGTAAAAATAAAAAAATTCACTAAGAAGAAGAAGAAGAAGACCAANCTTCTAAGAAGAAAAAATAAAAAAATTCACTAAGAAGAAGAAAAAGAAGACCACTAAAAAAAGAAACAAGACTACAAGACAATGACTACAAGAAGAAGAAGAAGAATACTACAACAACAAAAATAAGACTATAAGAAGACGAAAAAGACTACTACATGAAGAAGAAGACGATGACAAATACAAGAATAAAAAAATTACAAGAAAAAGAAAAGAAGGAAAAGAAACAAAAGAGTACAACAACAAAACAACGACTACAACAACAACATCAAGAAGACTATAACAATGACAACAACAATAAGACTATAAGAAGAAGACGAAAAAGCATACAAGTTGAAGAAGAAGACCACTAGCAAGAGAAGAAGAACAAGAAGAAATCCATTAAAAGAAGACGACTACAAGAAAAAGAGTACTACAACAAGAAGACAACTACTGAAAGAAAAAAAAGAAGACTAAATAAGAAGAAAAAGAGAACTACAAGAAGGAAGGCTACACCAACAACAAGAAGAATAAGAAAAGTAAGATAACAACAAGAAAAAGAAAAAGAAAACTATGACTACAATAACAAGAACAACACTACAAGAAAAAGAAGAAGAAGAAGAAGAAAACTATAAGAATAAGAAGACTACAATAACAACAAAACTACTATAAGAAAAAGAAGAAAAAGACTACAAAAAGAAAAAGAAGAACAATAAGAGAAGAACAATAAGAAGACTACAAGAAGAAAAGAAGCCTATAAGAAGACAAGAAAAATAAGAATAAGAAGACTACAAGAAGAAGAAAAAGAATACTACAACAACAAAAATTAGAATACTTGAAAGATGACGACTATGAAAAAGGAGAAGACTACTAAGAATAAGAAGAAAAAAAATACTAACAAGAAAAAAAGACTACAAAAAGAAGAAGAATACTACTACAACAAGGAGAAGAAGAAGACTACAACAAGAAGAAGGCTTCAAGAAGAAAAGGACTATAAGAAGAAGACGAAAACGACAATGACAAGAAGAAGACTATAGAAAAGCAAGAAGAAGAAAAAGGCTACCAGAAGAATAAGAATAAAAGAAGAAGAAGAATACAACAAAAAGTAGACTAGTAGAAGTAGAAGAAGAAGAAGACTATAAAAGAATTCACTATTACAAAAAGAAGACAAGAAGAAGAAGAAGACTACTAAGAATGAGGATATTATTAGTAAAAAAAAAATACTACAAAGAAGAAGAAGGAGAAACCTATTAAGAACAAAAAGAGGACTACCATGTATAAGAAGACTACAACAATGAAAAGAAGAAGAAGAGTGCAACAACAACAACAAAAAGAAGATAACAACTACAACCAACAACAAGACTGCTACTACAATTATTACTACAACAAGAAGAAAAAGACCAAGATGAAGAAGAAAAAGAAAAAGATGACTAGGAGAAGAAGAACAAGAACAAAAAGAATAATAAGACGATGACTACAAGAAGAAGACTATAAAAACAAGAAGAAAAGGACAAAAACTACAAGAAGAAGAATAAGACTATAAGAAGAAGAAAGATCAAAGAAAAAGAAGACTAGAAGAAGAAGACGACAACTCCAAGGAGAAGATAAAGAAAAATAAGACGAAGAAGAACAAGATGACTACAAAACAAAAAAATAGAAGAAAAAGAAGGCTACAACAAGAAGACTATAAGAAGAAGAAAACTATAACAAGAAGAAAACGACTACAGTAACACAACAACAATAAGAAGACAACTAGGAAAAAAAGAAGAAAATTACAAAGAAGAAGATGACGACTAAGAACAATAAGAAGACTAATATGAAGAAGTCTACTAAGAAGAAAAAAGATAACTAAAAAAAAGACTACTAAGAAAAAGACCGCAAGAAAAACAAGGCTACAAAAAGAAGAAGATAACAATAAGAAAAAAGAGAGATGACAACTACAAGAATAAGAAGACTATAAAAAGAAAAGAAGAATAAGAAGACCGGAATATGAAGAAAAAAACTAAAAGAAGAACACTACTAAGAAGAAGAAAAAGACCACAACAACAAAAAGAAGAAGAAGACAACGACGAAGACTCCAAGAAGTAAAAGAAGAAGACTACAACAAAAAGAAGACGACTACAAGAAAAAGAATAAGAAGAATAAGACTCTAAGATGACAGAGAAAACTTCAAAAAGAAAAAGAAGACTAGAAGAAGAAAGTGATGAACAACACTACAAGAAGAAGAACAAAACTTCAGAAAGAAAAAAACTATTAAAAAAAAAGAACAATCCAAGTACAAGAAAAGAAGATGACTATTAAGAAGAAGAATAAGTGTACTGGGCAAAATATTAAAAAGAAGACTAGAATAAGAAAAAGACAGACTAATAAGAAGTAGAATACTAAGAAGAAGAAGACTATAACTATAAATAAGAAGAAGACTACAACTATAAATAAGAAGACTACAATAAGAAGATTACAAGAAGAAGATGACTAGAAGATGAAGACTACAACAGGAAGAATAATATTACAAGAAGATGACTACAAAAAGAAGAAGAATAAGAAGATTACAACAAGGAGAAGAAGAAGACAACTAGAAGGAGAAGAAAAAGAATACAAGAAGGAGAAGACTACAAGAAGAAGAAGACGACTACAACAATAAAACTCTAAGAAGAATAGAAGGACAAAGAACCAGAAGAAAAAGACTACAACAAGAAAAAGAATACTGGAAGAAGACTAAAATATAAACATGAAGACGACTATAGAAGAAGAAGACTACAACAACAAGAAAAAGGAGATTGCAAGAAGTTGACAACTATTACAAGAAGAAAACAACTACAAGAACAAGAAGAAAACTACTGTAGAACAAGAAGAAAACTACTAGAAGAAAAATAAGAACACTACAAGAAGGAGAAGGAGAAGGCCACAATATGAAGAAAAAGAAGATGAAAACTACAAGAAGGAGATGTATACTAAGAATGACAGTACATTGAGAGACGGTAGCACAGCAATTGTTAGGAAGTATAGTATTTAAACTTAGTCGCATAACTATAATTACACACCAATGTTGAGGGCCAGAGCAACAACGAGAATATTGTAAGGAGAGACGATGGCATAGAAGAATATGTACAGTAGTTAAAATTTGTAAATTCGGCACTCTATTGATTGGGAGAGAAACAAATTAAATATCCACACCAATTGTATTTCAACCATCCTTTATCCCAACCCATCTCAACTCACCAAACTTAAGTCAATTTTGTGTTTAGGAGATATATACTTGCTTAAACTTGAGGCCAGCCCCTTTGAAAACTTCTTAGTGTGCATGTTCATAAGATGTGAAAAACTGACCATCTACCTTCCATACCCTTCCTTCCCCAAGTTTATGAGTTGCGTGAAATAGGACTACTACCATCGCAACTAGCAGAAAAGGCAACTCAAACAACAACAAATACAGCAATGACAAAAAGAACAGCTAAGAAGAATCATGGAGAAACGATGACGTGCCAAAAAGTGACATGCATCATGTAGCATCTGGCCAAGTAACATGCAAAACTATTCTTTTATATCACAAACAGAAAAAGTCACATTCAAAACCAAGATATAAAACTCAGTTAAGAGGAAAAGCATTGAGGTAGAAGTCCCAGGCAGACGAGAATGAGAACACAGGTTCAAGTAGTTTGTGGAATGTTACTAAGCATATATAATGCCCAAGTCCATTTTTTACTCTGTCCCTCTCAGGACCCCACATTGGCATGATTCAGCACAGGGTGATGACCATTTATGGCCCTCTTGTTGAACTTCTTTGTCCTGATCTATTTCTTTAACTGAACCACAACATTTGATTTTTTCACAGCAACAAAATTATTGATTGCGATGTGTCTGCATCATCTTCAAATCCAGTATAATTTACCAGACACAAATATATTAGAGAATATATGAAAGACTAAGTGACTACGACCATTTGCTCGAAAACACATTGGCTATTCAAAAAGGAGCAATCTTTCAAAACTTATTAATCAGGAAAATCAGAAAAGATTACTGCACTGAAGTTTTAGAGGGAAGGGGGACAAATTGTACAACTAAAGTTCCACAATTAGAATTCTTGCTTAGTTTATTAGGAAACTCACAGAATGTTGTGCAAATATTATCCTCTTGGAAGGTTCAACTTTTTTATGTTGTCAGTTGGTGCAGATGCAAAACAATCCCTGCATTTGAATGATGAAAAGAGTTCTAAAACAAAGATATTATAGAAGTGTGTTTCATATAGGAAAACATGTACATACTCCTTAGGATGCAAAGCCATTGCTCACACAAATTTCTTACAGTGTGTGAGAGCTGTCATCGTCTTGCCAGCCATGCAGGATTAATAAATGTCGTCAAAACTGGAAAAGCAAAATCAGAAAGAGAATAATGCAAAAAAATAGTATCACGTCTAAGGTTCCAAAACTTTATGGTTGTGTAATGAGAGCCTGTTACAACTTGTGGATCCTAGAAACATACGTTTTACAATTAGGTTCAATGAAATAAGGGGATTTAATTGCTACAACTGCAGATTATGTTGCCTTAGCAAGGTACATACATTTTGCATTGCATAAACTATATAGTCATATGATAACATTTTCTAGTTTTTCATATTAGACACACCTGCACCAATTTTGCAAATCCAATCCAGTTTTTCATTCTGGTTATATCACATCCTGCACAAATTTCGGTTACCAACACCCATGTGTCCTTAAGGCTTAAACACAAAGAATCCAGTTTTGCTGTCAACAACGTTTCCAAATTGAACAAAAAAATATCCTATCAATGGAACTGAGGAAGCAACAACCATAGTATTTTTTCTTTCTAGGAAATTGGAATGCAACTATAGTATAGAAGGTGTTATCTCTCAGGTTTCATAAAGCACCAAATCTACTTGGCACAAACATCAATAAGAACATTAGTTGTTTCCTTCAAAAATAGGAAATAAAAATAGAACAAAAAAAAAAGATTAAAAGAATACCACTATGGGCCACTTGTCCAGACGAACAACAGCGAGGTTGAAAGTTTGTGTCTGAGAACAACTATTTTGTGTACATAATGCCAAATGTTGGTTCAATACTTAGCCTATCCCTCACGGCAACTCTATACAAGACATGACTAAGTAATGGCCGTTCATCAAGCATATCAGTACAACAATCAAAATTTGTAAATTCTGCACTTTATTGATTAGGAGAAAAAAAATTAAATATCCACAGCAATTGTATTTCAACCATCCTTTATCCCAACCCATCTCAACTCACCAAATTAAAGCTCCACTCATATTCTCGCTTAAACTTGAGGCTAGTCCCGTCTAAAGACTTCTTAGTGTCCATGCTCAATAGGTATGACTAATTGACCATCTACTTGTCATACCCTTTCTTCCCTCCCCAAACTTATGAGGAGTTGTGTGAGAAATAAGCTCTGATAAAATATAGGTAGATTTAAACATGATCTCTCTCACTTGAAAAGGATTGCTTACCGTAGGTCGAGTAAAAACTGAAGATACTGTGTTGTCAAGGCTCGAAATTTGCATCTTGCTACGGATATCCCAAACCTGAAATTGTTGACCGAAAATGTCAAAATACTATGTCCATACTAGATCTAGCAGAATTGAAATATACACATTATGATTAGCTGGAACCACTACACAAATAAAACATTGCAGCATGGAATTTGACTTTAGACGATCGAAAGCATACCGGACAGATTAGAATCATGACCTCCAGTTAGTAGAAGGTCAATAGTTGGATGAAGTGCCAAGCAATCAACCCCCGCTTAGATGATCATGGTAAGACGTATAACCAAAAAAAAGAAATCAAATGTATATTTGGCCATAATTACTTGAACCAAAAGAGCTTTGAGCACTCAATTACCAACCTTATTCTGTTCTAGACACCAGCAATTTACTTGCTTGTCATCCTGTAGAGAACATATATGAATGTTTGTTGGTAACAACAAGGCCTGCAATGAAAGGACATTTTATCCAACCATGCTGGTGCATGATTTAAGGGGTTTTCTTTGGGTTGTGGCCTGATCTTCAAAGCCACTTGACACTGTAAATTTACCTAATATATTTGATTGACTCTTTAACTAATAATTAAGGAACAAACCTCATATTTGTTCAACGTGTCTTGTTAGTGTAAGCTTCAGCCTTCCACTACCTACATCCCACATCTAGCAGCCACAATATCGGGTTTGGGTTAATGGTGGAGGGGGAATAAGAATCCTCAGTAGCTATGCAAGAAAATATCAATATTGGGAACATATAGTTGGGTATTCTAAAGTGGCTTTTACAGCACCAAACAAACAATAAAATTCAATAAACTTACTTAATGGACGCTAACCAAGATTTTACTTTTTATATAACTATAGATACAGTGATTTCACAAGCATATTGGCACAGTCGTAATTTGTGTGGTTTCTAATGAGAATATAGACATACAAGCTGCAATCATATGATGCATCTCAAACTTACTGTATCTTTTTGTTTTCCCATTTTTCTCTTTTTTTTTTCCTTGGTGGGGGTGGGTGGGGTTGTTGATCTAAGCTAATACCAACAGCGGTATATGAAGAACCCAACGCCGGTAAATTATCAAGTGTATAAGCACATATATTATATGTCAATAGCTTCTCGTCGCCAAGTTTCTCCTGGAGGCTGGAGGCAACAAAAAAAAACAGATTCTCAAACCAGTAAATTCAACAGATTCATAAAAATCAAGACTAAAACCCCAGTTGCCCACACACCCCTTAACAGTGGAATGTTACCTTTACGAAGAATGGCGTTCGGATGTGATTCCCGTATTCCCTATCAGTTGAACAAATCACTAACCCTGCTACCGTCGAGCTCGGAGGTGCGATTTTTAACGATGTTTCCAGTCGACTACTTGGGAAAGTAGTTGTCCGGACAGAGGGTGAGAGAATCGCCGAAAGCTTTCCGGCATTAAGCGTGAAGGTCAGGAAGCTCGATGGGGATGGAGAAAGCATGATGTGGCCCTTGACAGGAATTGAGGTTTAGGGTTAGAGGTTGAAGAGACGAGGGATGAAAAGAATGAACTAATCCGCCGTGGGAGAACGAGTTTGATTTCCCAGTTTTCCCTCTTCCCTCTCCGTCTCAAAACATTGTGTTTGGCGCCGAACCAAATACTCTTTAATAAAAAGAAAGGTTACCAAATACGATCGGTATCAAATCTCACTTTAATTAATTATTTCCAAATTCGTTACTAATATTTTTATAAAATCTCACTTTAACGGTCAAAAAATCAAAGACTTTCTATCCAAGGAATATCACCTACACTCGGATGCAACTCGGGTGATTTAACCGCTAACCAGTATTGGAATGGCCTTTAACTTTGGCATTCTTTCTTATTTAATCACCAATTAGGTACCTTATTCATTTATAAAAACAAATAAGAAAAAGAACAACAACAATAACAATAACAAAAAAAAAAATTAATTAAAAAATTGACAACGTTGATTAGTTACTGAGTTAAAAAATTAACCAAAAGATTAATTAAAAAAATTAACACAAAAATTAGTCAAAGAAATCAGTAAAAAGTTAGTTAAAAAATTAACAAAAAGAATAATTAAAAAAATTAACCCAAAAAATTAGTCAAATAAATCAGTAAAAAAAATTAAAAAATTTGACAAAATACCTTAAATAAATGGCGGAGGATGATAACCCAAAAAATTTTGTGAAACTCTAATTATAAGAAAAAAGATTTTAACCTCGTCAAGCTTCATTTGATGACGAAGCAAGGACACGGTGGAACCCTTCAAATGACATGGCACTTAGGTTGCATGTGCCTTTAGCGCCGAGGTTGTTAAACAATCTAATAAAAGAAAAATACAAGAGATAAGAAAAGAGGAGACTAGGGTTTTATTGATACTACATAATTCAATTGAATACGAAGAAGTGATTTAACTTAAATACAAAAAGACTATATATAGGTTAAACAAAAGGAAAGTAAAGAACTATTCTACCCTTAATAAACAAAATAACCTTATATTTCTTAACATCTCCCCTCAAACTCACGATGCGGCAGATACAAGCATCGAGAGTTTGTTAACTAAAAAACGAAAACGGGAAATAGAATGTGACTCGGTAAAGAAATATGTAATCTGCAAAGAAGAAGAAACAAAGGGCAAAGTAATGGTGTCATGCTTGAGATGATGACAAGTAAGGTGACAATCAATCTTAATGTGCTTAGTTCGTTCATGAAAAAATCGAGTTGTGAGCAATCTAAATAAATTNAGTAATGGTGTCATGCTTGAGATGATGACAAGTAAGGTGACAATCAATCTTAATGTGCTTAGTTCGTTCATGAAAAAATCGAGTTGTGAGCAATCTAAATAAATTTCTAGTTGTCACAATACATAGGAGTGGGATGAGAAAGAGAAACTCTCATATCTGCAAGTAACCAACGTAACCAAACAATCTCTTTGGTAGTAAATGTCATAGCACGATATTCTGCTTCGGTTGAAGATTGAGAAATAATAGATTGTTTCTTGTTCTTCCAATAAATAAGAGAATCACTCAAAAAGATATAGAAACCGGTAACAGACTTGCGATCTGTGGGATTACTGTCATGATAAATATCAGAGTATGCACACAGCTCCAACGAAGAAGTGGATGGAAGTAAAAGACTCTGAAAGACTGTACCCCGAAGATATCGCAAAATACGAAAAATAACTACCCAATGAACTGTAGTAGTAAAAGCAACAAACTGACTAACAATATGAATAGCATATGCAATATCTGGACAAGTAATAGTGAGATATATCAAGCTTCCAACAATAGTACAGTGTAAAGTAGAATCTGACAAAGGTAAACCATCAAAAGAAGAATATTTTGCGTTAACCTCAATGGGAGTATCTACGGTCTTATTATCAATAAGTCTAGCTCGCTCAAGAATATCTGTAACATATTTCGACTGAGAAAGAAGATAACCTCTGGGTGAGCAGACTACCTCAATACCCAAGAAATATCGTAGAAAACTCAAATCTTTCATTTCAAACTGTCTAGCTAACTCTGTCTTCAAAACTGAAAATACTATCAATATCATCACCAGTAATAATCATATCATCAACATATAAAGACAGAATGATATGACCTGCATCAGTACATTTAACAAAAAGAGCAGAATCATGACTACTAGAAGCAAATCCAAGGAAAGAGATCATAACAGAAAATTTCTCAAACCAAGCACGAGGTGCTTGTTTGAGACCATATAACGCTTTCTTGAGCTTGCAAACATACCCAGAATCATGTGAAATACCAGGAGGGGGTGTCATATAAACTTCTTCTTTAAGATCTCCATTTAAGAAAGCATTTTTAACATCAAGTTGAGAGATATGTCACTGACGAACCGAAGCAACTGCAATAAGAGTACAAATAATAGTCATTTTTTGCAACAAGAGCAAATATCTCCTCATAATCCATACCATACTGTTGAGAGTACCCTTTTGCAACCAACCTAGCTTTATATCGCTCAACAGATCCATCAGAATTAGTCTTGATCTTATATACCCAACGATAATCAACAACACTCTTACCAGAAGGTAGAGGAACCAAATCTCAAGTACCTGTCTTATGCAAAATAGAATGTTCCTATCCATATCTTGCTGCCAAAGAGAATCAAGAATTGCCTCTTTATAAGAACATGGCTCAGAGAGACAATGAATAAAAACTAAAAAGGAAGTAAAAGATGAAGAATAACAAGAATAAACAAAATCTGGTAACTTTGTGGACTTGCGATGTGTATGGATTGACGTAGAGGTGGATCCACAATCTCAGATGGAGCTTGAGGGACCATAGGAGAAGAGGTAGCTTCAGGTGTGCTAGAGAGTAAAGTGTCAGTACCTGCAGAATGATCAGTATGAATTAGTCGAGTATAATGTAAAGGTAACGGGGTAAGAACATGAGAAGAGGTATTTGAAGTACTAGAAACCTAAGACGACAAACTATCAGAATCCTCATAAAAATAATCTATACAAATAAGATCAGATCTAGTCAATCTATGAGTAGTGGATGGAATAGAACAAAAAGGTATATGCTAGAGAAAAATAACATGACGAGACACATAAAGTTTATGAGTTATTGGATCAAAACAACGATACCCCTTTTTACCTTCACCATAACCAAGAAAGACACAAATAGCAGATCGAGAGGACAACTTGTTGCATTCAACCTGAGGACGAAGAACGAAACAAGTACAACTAAAAACTCTAAAGNTGTGAAGCACCAGAATCCAAGACCTATACAGAATGTGACATACCTGAAAACTATGAGGCAACTAACCTACGGAAGAAGAAGCAAACATAGCTTGTGGCTGTAAGGAGAAAAACTTCTAAAATTTCTCAATCAAAGTACTAGAATCGGTGAAAGGACCTGATGAAACTACTGTTGCAGTATTAGACTGTGGTGGTTTGTAACCCTAAAGTGGTATATGAGCATTAGATTGTGNGACAACAAGAGAGAACGAGCAGTTTTAACAATGTGCCTATGTTTTCTTTCAGCAACACCATTTTGCTCAGGAATATCTGTACACAAAGTTTGGTGAAGAGTTCCATCTAAGGCAAGCAACTCATCAAATTTATTAGAAGTGTATTCCCCACCCAAATCACACCTAAAAACATTTCATAACAGCAGAATGTGGAGTTTTGACAAGAGTNTCCTTGTGTAAGGCTTATTCTAAATATTAGAGAATGGTTTAGAAGGTACTGTTAGCACAGAAGGATTAGAAGTAGAAAGAATTTCCTTTTCAAAATAAGACTTAAGGTGTATTTCTTCAACCAATAACTCACTAACAACTGAGTCAATAGAAGGAATTAGAGAACGATGCAAAATTGAACTTTTAAGTCCTTCAAAATCACAACGAAGTGCCGTTAAAAACTGTATCAACCGTTGCTACTTTCTATGAGCAATATTGGCACCACATGCCTTTAATTCGGCTGATTCTGNACAGGAGAAGGTCCTCATACATCAGAATGAATCAAATCACATGGAGAAGAAGAAATAAAAATACTTCGATTAAAAGGTAAAGCTGAAAATTTTTCCAGTTTACATCCACTACACATCAAAAATATCACAAGTTTGTAAATTTCCTAAAGCCCCTGTGGATGCCAAAAATCTCAACGAGAAGACGAAACATAACCTAGACGNTAGCAGAATAAAA